CCTTGGTCCCACCTCCACATACTACACCCCCTCCCCCACTCAACTCCTCACCTCATTGCCATTTTATGCTTCCTCCTTGCTCATGCTTCTAAAGCAACACTCTTCCTTTGGAAGCTTCCTTTGCACTGCACAATCAATGCAGACATCTGCCATGGCCTTGTATATAAGTCATAGCATAGCACTTGGTACAGTAGTCTTGATATTACCATACTTCTGTCTCTGTTTTGTTTTGTGTCTTGTATCCCAGTTTTCCTAGGTTTGACTTCATTTGTCTTGCCTCATATTGCTTGTTTCATCTTGTTTTCTTACTTGTCTTGTATTGTTTCCTTATTCTTGTCTCTACTTGACTCATACTCTTTTCAATCTATTCTTTTGACTCCACCTCTTCTGCCTTAAGTTTCTAAGTTCCTCTTTGCTTCATCTCTTATCTCCAGCCTCAGTTTCCATTTCATTCCTCATTCATCTCTTGCCTTGACTCTTTTCTTTTCCAGCTTGGCTAGATCTCCATGCCTTCATTTCTGATCCCACGACTCACTAGTTCCTGCTACTCACCTCAATTCATAGATCCTCTGCCTTGAGACTCACTACTAGCCCTGGTCCTCATACCTTGCTTTTCTTACACACTTTCAGCACTTGCCCTTGTACCTCTCACTCCAGACATGACTGACACTTCCACTCATAATTCTCTCACTTCTCTGGCCCCATCTCTCAATTTCCTATGCCCTGTGCTCATTGATGGTACTCACTGTGCATGTGGTATATTGTGTTCACACAGTAAGAAATCACCCAGTGGTCTGAGCCTCCATGGTCAGTGAAACTGACAACCAGTGCATGGCTTTTTTACTTGAGTCTATCCTCAAACAGGATCACAGTTTCAAACTTTCTGAATATATGATGAAACTTGAAGGCACTTCCATTTTTCCAGCTTTGTTTACTATTCTAAATAAATATGAACAAATTCAATTTCAGACTTTTCTTTCTTGCTGGGAGAAATGGATATGATTATTCTGGTATGAACAATCATAAATTGTGCAAATACAAGTGTGTGATATCAGTTTTCTATTGTTTTCTAAATAACCTCCAGCTTGAAAAATATTTGACAGATACCAAGAGTGATATTTGGCTGAGTTTTTGCAGTAGTTAGTAGAGTGCTTAACATTGTAGTAGAAGATATACAGAATTTTCTCTTGGTGTATGCCTAAAAATTAAATTTAAATTGTGTATGAATTTTAAGACACTAGCTATTGATTGTGTAAAACAAGCCTTCTCAGCCTGCATCAATTTTTGATTTTTCAAAAAAATTTGGATCTTGTCCCAGGTATGACACCAGAGCCATTATTCAGAGTCCGGAGTCTTTGATTGACCATGGGAAAATACTTCTTATTAGAGCGGACATCCCCAAATGGTCACTAAAAACTATCCCCAAATGGTCACTATTTGTCCCAGGTATGACACCTGGACCGAGTTTTTGCACGAATTATTTTTATCAAGGTGATATGGCCGAGCGGTCTAAGGCGCTAGAATCAGGTGTTACCTATATCTAGTCTTTCGAGGCGTGAGTTCGAATCTCACTGTCGTCATTTTTGCCTTTTCCCTGAGGGAGTTCTGGTATCCAGAGCAAAGTATGCATGGACTTCCTTTCCAGCACACTAGTACGTCTTACAGGTTATTAATGGATATTTTACATAGACATAATAGTAAGGTACAAGGATTGTTGACATAGTGCCAATGGTTCGGGGAAGTAAGTACTATGAAAGTAGAAAAATGGGAAGACTCAGAGTCTGTCCCTTCTGGTGTTCTCATCACCCTTACGTGGCTTATGGATGAGGTAGATGCATGACACAAGAAAGTAGTGAAGCATCGTATCTAGATATTCAATGTGCTGTAACGTAACACAAAAATATCATCTGACCTGGAGAGCGAAGGAAGGTATGTTTCCAGGCATGTCAAGGCATGATGTTGCCGAGTTCTTTGCTTATTTGGTCTTATGTAAACGAGTTCATTTGGTAAAATCAATCGACCCCATTGAAGAAACAGTCAGACAACAGGCCCACAGTCATTGGGGTTGGGATGTAGGCATCGAGACAAAAGCTGACAAGTTGTGAAAATATTACACATCATCGAGTTGCCTCAAGTCCTTGATCTTTGCAACGACATAGTTGTCATCCGAGTTAGGCGGCGTTGACAACAACTGACCTGAGGAAAAGCCGTGAAGTACCATTTTTGTTGAGATAGTCGTTGGTTTTCTGGCCTCCGGACAGGTTTTCTGGGGAAAACCATTCCCCTGTAACGTTCATCATGGGAGAAAGCAAGTTAGCATCGTCGGTGAGGTCATCTTCAGGTAGCGCCGTCCAGTCGAATGCATTCTCCGAACTGCCAGATGTCCGACTTTTCATTCCATGGAGCAAGGATCACTGAGCTGCGGATGACGCATATGTTGTCACTCATGATATTTATAAGTAACGTCTTATTCATTTCCTAAACAGTATGTCATAAAGTTATCATATATGACACAACATATACGCATATTATATCATATGTCTGAGAGGTATAGGGGTACATAAACTTTCAGTATCCTGAAGTTCGAATCATCTTACAGTTTCGAACTTCAGGTACGTATTATTTACTTCTAATTAACTTTCAATATTATCTTACAGTTTCGAACTTCAGTCATCCGTTTCTTACCACTGCGCAATAAATATATTATGCTCCGTCAATCACATTCTCCGGAAGGAGATGGGGAGGAATGGCAATGGATTGAACGCATTGATCGGAACGCGGTTGCGCTAGGGTTGACTGAATGGAACCATGAAGCTATAGATGCTAGACAGACCGTGGCTGTAGTCACCAAGCAGGAAGGTACACTTGATAGCATCTTAAAGAGAAGGAAGTGGCAAAGGCTCAAAAACTGCAGTCTGAACCATAGTAGATGATGTATCTTCTGGATCATGGCACTGAGATGGGTCAGAGATCAGCAGGGATGTGATTCTTCAGCGGACATGTCAGGAGTGAAGAAGATATTGCCGAATTCCAAGTCAGTATGAATGTATCCGCGTTTGTGCAAATGTGCGATACCGCGTAATGTATGCAGTAAAATGCGCTTTGAGAGATGTAAGGAAGCGACCGATGATGTTCAGCAAGCCTTTAAACGTTGCCGCCATGACGTAAGAAACGTGATTAGTTTCCACTCAAGAGGTTGAAAGCAACGTAAATATGCAGACAGTGAGCGGATTAAGGATCAGTCACGGTAACAGCATAGAGAGCATCAAATTCGCGGGCACGATGACCACATTGACGAAGAAGACTCATATCCTTTCAGTATTTTGATGGCAACATAGTCCTTTCTCTGGCCAAATAAATCAGCATTATAAAGAAACCGAAATTTTGAGACATACTGTTGGTCGAAGGCTAGCCATATGCTGGATATCATTTCCCAACCGAACTTCCGCTTAGCAGCCCATTCACCCTAATTAAGGACTTGTTAGAGTTCAATCCAAGCCCAGCCGTGTCCTTGGTTAGCAGGAAGGCCGATTGGTTCAGAGAAAAAAAGTGATCTTCCTCTGACTCATAGGAAGAAGGCTTGCGGAATTTTTCGATGCCATTTGACATTGGCCTCGTTGAGAAGAGTGAGTGATTAAAGATGCAGTAGCGAGCGTGTACTGGGGTGATGTAGGGCAGAAAAAGAGCCATTGCAAGAAAGTGTATGACGAGATCGCCTCACGCATCAGTTTATGTGCATCTTCTCATCTGTAACGTTTTGCCTGAAAAGGAACACGTCGGAATTGCACTCGACGAACCAGTTGGACTATCTGTCCCATTAGTACATACAGGTACTCAGTTATTTCGCCCATTTTGTCTGTCCAGTAGGTCTACCGAGGTGTAATCTTATGATTATGTCCTTACCTAGTTAGTTAGCGGAGGTAGATAGCAGAACTGTAACATTGTAACAAACCTCATTACAATACTGTGACCCGTTCTGCAGAGTGAACCACGCTCTGATCCTGCCAAGGCGGGGACCGAACTGCTACATTATCTATGTATGTAACAAACTGTTATGCGTGACAAAACAAACATTGACCGCTTTTGTGTCTTGGGGTTGCAGTTCTTTACCATGT